ATAGTCTACATTATTTACTAATGAAGTCACTTTCTTTTGACAAACAATTTATTGAAACTCGGTTTAATAATGATGGAATATGTACATATAAAGATTATTTATTTCCTATTTAATAAAGTCCTAAGATTACTTGAGTTTTCTCAAAGATGAAAACTGTATTTTATTTTGTTATTATTTTGGTTATAAATGACTTTTGAAAACTAATAAATCTATTAATGTATGAACCGCTTCCCCCTCCCGTAACGGAATTGTCTGTTTATTTGTTAGCTGCCTTTTAACCTCAGAATGAATTTCGTTACGGAACGAAACAAAATAACATAAAACAAAGAAAGATAAATGAGGAGGTTTTACATTTTTTATACGAAATGTCCGAAGAGTGGCGTTGATTTATCAAAAAAGCTGTGCGGATGTGTGTGTGTGTGTGTGTACAGTGGTGTGTATTAAACTAGGATGTTGCGTAATATTTAGGTATTTTTATATAAAGGAGACGGTTTGATTGTGATCTTCAACTAGTAAGGTAGGATATAAAAAAAGGTATCTCACAAATTATATGTCAATGCTAATCAAACATGCTTATATATAAGGGGATAGATATACTTTGGAATCTACACTTTGGGAGAAAAAGAAAAATCTAACCTTTTGGAAATAGCGTATATAAAAATAAGATATTTAGTCACAAGGACCAAGACTTATATCAATAAAAATGTATAACTTGTTTGTGATACAACATAAAAAGCGGAAAAATGTCAGTTGGTACTTACACAAATATAAGTGACTTAATCGTTATTTTAAAGCATATAGTTCCTTAGTAGAGTTTAAGTCTTTGTATTAAATTATAATGATCCCCAATTTATGGTTAAAAATACAAAAAATTCTAATAATAGATTTTTTACTTACCTTTAGGGGATATTTATGTTGAAATAAATGGAAAAAATTAGAGAACAAATTCAAAAATCAATATACTTTACTCGCTCTTGATCGTTGTTCATTCTACAAATTATTAAATAAGTATGTATATGTATAATGACTGTAATAAGTAATAACTCTATTGTAAATTCAAAAACGTTTTCAATCAAAATATACAGTAGTATAAGACGGTTTCATTATTATGTCTACAACGACGACATGGCGTAATAATTTTTTTCATATGTTTTTATTTCAGTTTCAAATATGATAATTTATTCAAAGAAAAATATAAAATATACATTAAATAGTAGTAAAATAGCATTCACGAATGTAAGATTAACGAGAAGAACTGAAGAGATTACCAAAATATCAATAAGTAATTACTTTTATAAAAGTATATATTGTAATACTTGTATAATATATTTTATAAGTAGTGTCAGCATGACGTAAATGTAAGGAGAGTAGTTTTAGTGTGTTGTGAACCACGCTGAGTAAAATCACCAGCTGATTGACATGAGAATTGTGTTACTGGAAAAGTACTTAATACATATAGTCTATAAGGATTGGAAAGGAAAATATAGTATTTGATAAACAAGCACTATAGTATGTTGAACTTTGTAATTTTTGCCCGCATGCAAGCGACGCTGTAAGCTACAAATCTTTCTCATGTTTGCAGTGTAAATATGAATTTAGAAGTGGGATATAAGGATTTTAAGTTTGTAAAATATTAATCTGTAAGGATCTGGCTACTCCAGCCTCACCTCGCAATATGAATAGATTTCAATAATATGCTTAATATACATATATGTAATTATTAAAGTTAGTGAAATGATTCCACTTTAAGTAGACTCATATTTATTTGTCCTCGTTCATTCTTAATTCAAACATACAAATATTTTCAATCATCTTTCAACAAACTACTTTCCCATTTGACAATTTGCATTCATTACCGTCTTTTTTTTAGTGTGTGTTTATATTAATACGTCGTGTAAAACTCCGTCAGTTTGTCAAACTGTTTTCATAAATCAATATTTCAAGCGGTGAGTTTTTAAAAGCCGACGGACGCCCTTCCAAATCTGATTGTTCTCTAAAATTCAATCCATACGTGACTATTGACTGTTCACTTTTCAATGGAGCTACATTTTTCGTTTCCTTTTTTTCAACAAAATGTATTTTTTTTTATTAGCAGATATAGATTTTTGAAACAGACGTGAATGAAGTGAGGATAAGATTTTTTTATAGTCAAAGTTACTTTATAAGTGGTCATAAATTATTATTTTCTCACTAATATGGTTTTTATCTTATGAAATTTTATTCTCCTAGACAAGAAATACATTATTGTATAAGCCCGTAATTGGAATGATGGGTGAGTACAGGCTGGAATACGAAATAGAAAAATATTGCATGGAATTATTTTTAACATAATAACTATGACTATATTATGTTTAAAGAATACTCACAAATATAGATAACTATAAGTTTCTTTAAATTAATGTAAATTAAAGTGTTTTGTAAGTGTTTATGTGATACTGATTATTGTTTTAAATTATTCACTTTTACTTAAAGATATAAATATTGAATCATTGAAAAATCTAAGATTTGATATTCCTTCTCCTGTGAAAATTTAAGTTTCTTAACAAAATATTAATTGGACCTTATTAGCCAGCGATCACCACTGCTTTGGAAAACACAGATTAGGTTTTAAGCCTATGGTTTTTCTTATTTCACGATGACAGGAACGATTTGAAATCAAACAATCATCAAATATTAAATATTTTATTTTGAAAACAAACTTATTCGATTCATGTATACATAAAGTTTCACGTTTTAAATACTTCATAGATAGTCCCCATATCATATAATATATTACATTTTATGTGTTCTCGTCTACTTACATTAATTTATTGTAAAACCTTTTCTATTAATTATATTTACACATTACGCTATACAAATGTTCACTTTAAATTATCTAGATATTAACTATACAAGACTCTGACGGTCACTGTTGTTGTGACTGTTGCTGTCGCTGGTGATGAACAACAATGGTTATTGAATAAATAATTATAACATTTCTGTGTAGGAGGGTTGAGATGTGTAGATATAGTGTGGGATGAACAACAGAATCTGTTCATAGACATAGCTGACACTAACACTTAATATCTTTTTAACATTATCGATTTCAGATACTTCCTTCTTCATCTAAACCATACCTTCAACAGCACACCAGGCCGAGTGCCAATTATTATTATTCTTTTCAATAAACGCTACGTCAAAGAACCCTTTGAGGATTTATATTACAAAGTTTTATGTCAAGTGATGCTGACGTCTCCTCGACCTATCACTTAGTAGAAATTTTTCTAAAAATCAACAATTCATTAATTTATATTTTAATCATTATATTAATTAATCCTAACGAGATTTAGAAAAGGTATTGGGAATAAAAAAATAATTGAAATTATATGAGTGGCTTTAAATATATCTTATTGTAATAGAAATTATCATATTATAATTAATTAATATTAGCTAAATTAAGTTCAGGACATAAATAATATAAATACAATTAATTATAATAGAAAACTAACATATTTAAAATATACATTCCAATTAGGAACATTTAATCTTTCAATAGAGTAAGAAAACTATTAACGTCTAGAATTCTACTTCTAGCAGGTAGCTTTTAATTCGACATTTATAGTTTCTGTACAATAATGAACATTCTGACCCTGAGGTCAGTTAGAACTGAGCGACCTCTAGCGGTAACACGTTACAACTGTGACGAGCATTCACGGATCAACCACACAATTAAGCACCAAATTCTGCATTTTATTTTGATTCATGCTTCAAATTATATTTGATTATAAATAAATTACAATTTGTGGACATTTCGCATTCCGTATTTGCGAATAGATGACTGTTTAATTAAACATGCTCGTATTGTTATTTGAATAATTCCATTGTACTATTTTTTGCTGTTAAATTAAAATTGCACCTGACGCGTCTGTCACATCGCTAATGATCGTAAAACATATCAAAATCCAATGAGACGTATTAACAACTATTGATAAATAGTAAATAATGTCATCAATTATATTAATTACTTAAATTACACAAAGACGTGGTCTCAACACTGTTTGTTTAGTTATAAACAGTCCTACAATGTACAAGGGACTTTGGAACGAGACTGAGTGAGCCTCGTCTATAGGCGACGGTCGATCGGAATCGTAACATTAACATTTTTTATATTAATTATCAATATAATTACATAAACACGAGTAACCGTTTACTTTGTTCTAAGTTATAAACATACAAATATTTTTCTTGTGTCGTCATCCGTCTAGTCGAGTACTAGGAGTTACAAATCAATTAACGAACCGATCGTCTCCGCCGAACAACGTTTACATCTAATCACTTGCGACGTATTTAATTAAAACTTTGTTTTATTTGAGGATTTAATCTGTCGGAGAAAGTGCCTAGTACTTAACATTTACATAATAATTACAAATACAAATTCGGCCTTATAACAAAATTGTATTTACAGCGTCACCGCCGATGACTGCAGCGGGCGACGAACGTGATGATGGTGATGATGGTGATGAAGGACATGACAGTGATGATGGTGATGACGGTGATGATGGTGACGGCGGCCATTTTATAATATACAAAATATGAGAACAAATCGGAAGCAGTGTCTCTGCTCCGATGACATCCGCATCGAGTTTACCGACAACACAGTGTACTCAATACAATAACAAACATTCTTGAATAGTATCAGAAGAAACGCATACCTTCCATCACCTATCTTATATTTGGCATATGTTATGTCAATATTAGATATCTACTCCTTTGGCGGGACCATCCAAGAGCGAGTCACTGCATCCTGGCAATCAATGAACACAGCGATCCAAGAACACTTGCTCATAAACCTTACAATAATATTTCTAACATAATGAATTATAATATTCAAGTCGCTCGTCGAAGACTGAGTTTTCGTCAGAGGACATGTAAGTGACCGTGGTGTTTTGAGCCTCGTGAGGTGGGCGCGGTGGTCATGGGGCAGGTGTCACTGTGCACTGCGAGTCTGTGCTGGCTGCACATCAGCTGGTGAGCTGTGTGTGCAGCACAGCTGTGTGCAGGGCGACGGCTGCCAGTAACGTGACCACACACACCCACGAGTCCGACAGACCCGCTGAACCCGTCTGCATGGCTGCTGGACGCTCGCCTGGAATCAACAAATATAGAATTAACATACCTACCTAACATAGGAAAGGAGCAGAATATGCGCGACGTTGTTCTCCTAATTGTTGAAAAAATTTTACAATAATATAGTGGACATATGTTACAACTGGGTAAATGTGACACCAAGACGCTATAATGTGTCACGGTCACGACAAGTTCTAAATGTATTTTAAGAAAAAGAATTTATTAACAAAATGAACTAGTTAAATATTAACCCCGCTCAAAAAAAAAAAAAACGACGAGCGAAATAACGGGAATTAAAACGCTAATTAATTATTACTTTAGTAGTAGTGTTCTCCCCCCCCCCTTTCTATTTTGTCTTAGTTGATCCTGACTGATAATAATATGTTTATATTACCGTTAAGTACATGAACCCTCACGGAGGCGAGCTCAGCGTTGGAGGGAGCGCACGAGTAGCGTCCGGAGTCCGCGGGAGTAGCATCCTGCACCAGCAGGTAGGAGGTGGTGGCCGCGCCCTTCTCCGTCACCACCGACACGCCGCCCCTCGACGAGTCATACGATATCACCTGCTTCTCCGAACACAAACACACGGTCACGCACATAACCTAACATAACTAGTATCTATAAAGAGATCATTAAGCTCATCTCGATACATCTCAGTAAGATTAGTGAGTCAAAAAATGTAGACAAAGTTGAGCCGACGTCGAAACTCGAGTTTATACTTGGGAATACTAAAACGTGGCTTATCTCGAAAAACACAAAGTTTCTTATTAAATAAAACAACATATTTTCCGTTCGGAGGACGCAGCAAGTTAAATTAAATTCCCCAAGTTCACTATGAAATACAAACTTTCGTTAATGTACGGCTCGAAATCGTATAAATTTTAATGTAGCCCATAAACATCGCGGACATAGTTTTAATTATAAAGTGTGGCAATTTGGATGTAACTAGTTCAGAGACAAACATGTCGCGGAGAGTCTAAAGTGGTGCGTTTATATTCGTCGCTCGAGCATCCGACGCTAATATGAGGGAGAGCGTACATCGGTACATCGGCACATCGGCTCGCACGTGTTCTTTAATAGCGCTCTTACGAAACAATATCGCACGGAATTAGTACTTATTATCGTTCATATTCAACTTGGGTACGACGCAGCTTGAATACTAATAATGTAACCCTCACCTACTTTACCGTCGAGATGTACGCTGCTTTATATGTCATTTAATTTGAATGTTTCTAAATCATGTGGAAACATTTATAAGATAAGTACTAAGAGTAGATAATAATCGGATAATATTTATATCTTTCTGTAATATGGATGTTTAAAAAATGCTGTCGATTCAACGTTATAGCAGTTTGTAAATGGTTCTAAAATTTTATATCTAATTGTAGTTTAATTTAGTTGTTAAATAGTTTACTGTAAATTTTCACTAGGTATCCTAAAAAGATAAACGGAATATATGACTTCAGATGGACTCAGGTTAAAATGTAATTTTGGAGTAAGTTTTCTTTTATTACTTCTTTATTTATATGTTACTTTTCCGCTATCACTGAATTGTGTATTTGGAAAACTTTGACTATGACTTAATTGAATAAAAGCAAAGTATGTCAGAATGCTATTAGGAAGTGCATTTTCATAGTAGTTTTTGAGTGTTGGTGAATGAAGATGTATAAAAAGGAGCACTCTTCATGCCTCTCTGTGTGTTCCATCAATTAGTATAGATCGTAGTTTTAATGATGTATTCAGTTTGAGTCGTGTCGGAGTCGTATCGTATCCTGAAGCGATTGTTATCGAAAAATATCGTTTCGCTTAATTCTGTAGTGTACCTCAGAAGCCTTGGATTTGTATAATTCTAATGAAGTGTTGTGTCTACGTGAAAATGAGTAATTTGTATGCAGCGCCGCCCAGCCTCCACCCAGCCTCCGCCCGCATTACCTGAGACGCTTATCTGACTTATATTTAAACCCGCCAATTTTGTCTAAGTTACAGTCCGGAATAATTAAAGGGCCCGAACAATAAGAGCTTTCGTAAAGTAATTTACATATTTTTTAAATGCTTTTTGTTGGCTGTATCTTTAGGAACACTTCTGACGTAGTTCTCATGATCGCCTGTTATCGTTCATAGTAATCGTTAAAAGTTTCAAAGGGTAAATGTTACGCCCTCCGTGTCGAAATATAATACGCTCAGTAACATTAATTGTATAATAATGATTTTAGTAATTTCTTGGCGTCAGTTTTGTTTTCAGTATAACGCCTACCCTGTATTACAGTAGGGGAAATTATGTACTTTGTAGAATATTTTATCATTTGTAATTTCAAATAAAGTTTTACTAGTTCTTGTCAACAGAATCGTTTGAGATAAATGTGGTCATGTTAAAATAACATTTATTATATAAGTCATAACAAAAATAATATTTTCTTAAATACTCACAAAACTCGTTCAAGTGAAAAGTGCTTATATATTTAAAATTGATTTTATATTATGTATGTATATAGCTATGAGTTTATTGGTGGAATTTCTGTCAAATGCCTTGTAATCCTAAAAATTGCTCTAGTCGTCAAAAGTTCTAGTAGAAACGAGAGACCTTGCTCTGTTTTTGAAAGATATCATTAAGACCAGGGTGCTGAGAAAGTGATAGAGTTTGTTTTTAAAACCATAAATTTCAATAATAAAGTCTCGTCTGCCCGTGATCACGGTTGCTGAAAAGTAGCCGAAACGTCAGGAGTATGTAGTGTTTTACAAAAATAAACTCAAGTAGTATGTGTGAAAAATACGAGTATCATTTAAATATTTATTTATAGATAATACAACAGTAGTTAAAGTAAAACTGATATATATGTATGTATAACATAATGTCCAAAATATTAGTCAGTAAGTGTGCTCGCGTCTTCTATCTAATACGCCTTATTACAGTGCAGCAAGTTTTCCGTTCATCTATATTCTATCGCATGTCGCATTATAACTGACAGCGGCGTATGGGTAAAGAAAAGACTCTTGTTAAATCGGCTCACTAAGTAGAATTTACATTTTGAGTAATTCTTGCAAGTGCTAAGAGGTATTTGATAAGTGACTTTTATAAAAATATGTAGTCAGTTTTTGACTTTAGACTATAATTTGAATGTATGTATTTCTTTTATCATTCGTTTTTTTAATGTTACTTATAGATTTAAAATAAAAGTCAAGTTCTTGTTTTCAATAAATTTCTCGTTATTGTACATATGTATTTATTAATTAAGTTGAAATTTAATTGTGATTATTAATATTTTGATAAAAAAATAGTGAAAAAATCTTTTACTGATACGAAAAAGTATTACTCGGATCTTAATTTCATGAAATTACATAACTTTTATTTCAATACTACGCAACCTACGTTTCATATGAATACAATATATAAGTACGTATTTTTGTGACAATAGGCTATTTTCGTAGTATTAGAATTTTATTAGAATCTATATATATAATTTCTGAATCAAATAGTTCCATGTAAATTGCTTCGTATCCAGTAGTTTCATTTATTTGCATAGTTGTTTTATAAACTCATATAACTGTTTAAGTTTATGGTCACTAATAAAACACAAAAGTAGTAAAACAAACGAAGGTGCCTCTATTAATTATTATAACCTCTGTAATAAAAGTCAGCTTACTTGTGACATCGATATATGAAGATAAGAACGCCCAAGATAATCATAAAATTAATGTTGTTAAAAATATGTAGTTAATTTGATTCGTTTTCCAAAAAATTGATGAGTTTATTATAGAATACCAAAAGGTTCTAAGGTCCAACTATAGAAATGGGTGGGATTACTAAAAGTATTCGTGAGTAAATAAGATATTAAAGTTATTGTAATTTCCGAAAAATGAACGTTAAGATTTTGAAGTTACGACTGTTTCAGTCCATTTGAATGATTGTCATCTTTGAAGAAAAACTATCTATAATTAATCTTTCTATATTTAGTAATATACTCGTATATTGATTGTGTAAGGATAAAGAAATTGATTGAAACGTGACATAAGTCTCAATATATTATGTAACATACCATTCAAGGTGTTTACCTTTTGTTTCTGTTTCGTTTTTCAATAAATCAAACAAGAATAATAAATTACTCAGGTCATCTTGGTTAAGGCTACAAGGAAACACGTATCTAGGATTCGGAGAATTTATCTCTTTACGATAAATATTTCAGGCCTCACTAGACAAGTAGCTATTGAGAAAGGCTTTTCTGCTTGGGTATACGAAGTGGGCGTATTTTTATCCGTCAAAATAAAACTATTCTGTCTAAACATCTGTGTTCATATATATTTTATTAAAAGTTCAAGCTTCAGTTTTGTCTCAAGAGTGATTATATGAAACCTTATCCAAACATTTGAATAAATTTAAATACATTAATTATTATGGCAAAATGTTTAATAATAACTATTCGACAATACTCTACTAAAAAAAGATGCAGAACTACTTCATTAAAGACACTATTTAACGTTGAACTACCACAATAAAGTTAAGGATAACAATCAAAAGTAAAGCAATATGGTGTTCCTAATAAAAGTGGAATCATAAATCGTTTTGTTCTGTACAACGAATTTTTATTTCAGTAACGTCTATCGAACTGAAAATCTCCCTCAATAACTGACATTCTTTTATGGAAAGCAATTTAGGACAAGGTTTGTTTAAACATTTATAATTGGCAGTGGTTGGCTAGAATATCATCCTATAGATTGATAGATTAGATAATTCGTATTTTCTCTTACTTTTATATAAAACTCTTGTAATAAGATGTTCGATTTAAAGAAAACGACGATTTATACTGATGATTGTAATTTTTTATTCATCATCATCATCAGCCATCAGAGTCCACTTCTGAGCGAAGCCTTCATCTCACATAGAGAAGTTTTTTAAATATGATATCTTCAAAACTAACATTTCTTCAGAACTAATAAACTTAACTGAATTAAAATAGGTTATTTCTGTAGGTATCTTACAAGTTTTTTTTTCTTTATGAGTTCTCTGACATACATTGCTACAGATCGGATTTTAAATATTTATTTCTTGGATAATAATTATAGTTTTGCTTGTTAATATATATAAAACGAAAGAGATAAACGTGTACCGACCGTGACATAAAATCCTTTTTTTTTGTTTATAAGTTTTATAATTTTATTTTTCGATTTTCATCATTATCCATAATAAAGATATAAAATCTATAAAAACCATACAATCTCTTGCTGAAACCTAATTATGGATTTAATTAATAAAAATCACATTGATTTAAAAGAATCAAAATTAAATATAAAATTGGAGCAATTGTTTATATAAATATAACACTGACACAGCTCTTTTCATTTGAAGTATAATGAACAATTGTTTGAAAATGTTGCCCTTGATCTGATTCCTTCTATTTTGATAGAAAACAAGTGATATTTATTTTAACTAGATGACTTTCGCTATGTACATTTTTGTAAACTAGCAAAGTTGTATTGTTTGTCAAAGAACAACAGAATTATGTTGTCGAGTAATCTTCACGAAACAGCGTTTCTCAGGAATGTCAACAACAAGTTATAAAGGGTGAGGTTTATGATCAGGCAGAGGTTCTGAGGGAAACGACGAAAATAATGAGATTAAGGTGTTTAAAATAATAGAGGGTTTTTAATGTTAATTATAAACATAGTATATTATTAGTAACCCCTGGACCTCATGGAAACAATGACTTGTATCGGCAAATTATTGTTACCTCCGATTACATAGTTCAAATAAGTAGTGACATTTTATTTAAGTATATTATAGATTATACTATATGAAGAAAAAGTAACTCTTAAAAGGCGAGAATATTTTAAAATCGGTCCAGTAGTCCTTAAGCTAAATCGTGAGAAACAAACGAAACCGAGAGTTTATCTCTTTTGAAATTAGTTTCAAAAAATTTCTAATCACACATCACATCACAGTTTTGCTATCGAAGTCTTATAGACAGAAAGAAGTTCATAGTAATCATTAAATGACAGAGGGAATAGTTGTCCATCGAAAATATGGAGTATTTTATTTTATCTCTGGCTGATTTCCCCATAGTGACGTCTTCCACTTGATTCACACAACACTGGTTGGTTGTATGCAGCAGACTCACCGTCAGATAGATTGTGTTGATGTCATTTAGAGTTTTCAATCCATCAAAGGAATGTTTTCTGAGAGTCTATCTTAATACTATCCTTACTATATGCGACTGGACACTTCATCATAGGATAACAAATCCTTAACATGAAGTGAATGAATTTCATTTCAACACTATACTTGTATTACGTTCATTTTCTACAACAACTATAACATAAGGTCTACTATTAAACTGTACTAAAACCATCAACTTGAAGATGGTACATGTACGTATATTTCACATCAGACGTGGAGTATTATATTCTTGCAGCAATATCTTAAAAATCATGAAACGCACCCTCTCCGTTCGTGTTCACCAATTTGATTTAGTTTGGTTAATCTGAACTTTTATCTTCAATACTTTTATACTTATCACTATCATAAACTGTGATTCCTTCTTTATATTGAACCAAGATTCCCCAAATGTTAGTTTAAATTGAGACTTCGGTCTTAGTCGTGGAAAATATTTCGAAAATTATATGTATGTCTGAATTATTATGCGAAGAGAAATGATTAATGGGTTACAAAATTAACAAGAAATAAAAGTAATTGTCTGAAGTTAGTGTTGCTTGTATGGTAGTAAAGATTTTTGAGCATGTAAAATTATATATGAATACAAGAAATTCTAAAAACTATTTTTATTTTAAGTTAGCAAATATTATTTTAAAAGGAACATATATTTGATAGGATTACTGTAGTGCATTCGAATTGAATCAGCCTTTTAAAATTCCCTCGAGCGATGAAATAGACTTAAATATCGCAGACGTACAACAGAAGTGCACATTACGAGCTAGTTTAATGTCGTTTACGAACAGCTAGGAGCGAACCGTTCACCGCCGCTAGGACGGGTCGTGGGAGGAAATGTAGTATTGTAAAGTATTTTAAAATCAATACACAATATGTAACTTAATATTAGGAGTATATAATGAATTTATTATAATTAAGCACATACTAACGACATCTAAGACTACCGCGAGTTTTATTCATTTAAATGAAACTTATATTTTTCGGATATACTACGCGGTTATTTTGTGAAAAACTAAACACTCCCGACATTTCGGTTACTTTTTATCAATCGTGATCACGGGCATACGAGAGGTGAATGTCTGTCAGTTGGTCTTGTTAATTATCATCTACCGCTATCGTTTTCTTAACGCCAGCAAATTAAAATGTCAGTATGAAGTTTACAATAAAAAAATTATCCATTACTTCCTCAACTATCTATCGTGTTTTATTAGTAACACACATTCAGCAATCAGATAGATATTTAAATGCATATCATTATAATAAACAATTTAATTATTTCAATATAATGATTACGTTGGTTTGTTATTATAAAGCTATCAAGTTTTAAATGTAAACTGAATACCTCAAATGATTGTTCCATACACACTCGAGTTAGTAAACCATCGATAACATATCAAGTATCTCAATTATTAATTGATTTCTAAAATTGCTTTTCAATCAGTTTTATCTATTGGTATATATATATTAAATTGAACATTTACACACAATATGTTATAATTGAATGTATTGCGTCCAGAATGTGTGTTCTATAATTGATTAAATCTGCATAATTCCCGGGATATTATCCAATAATGTTTCTCAGAGTACAAGTGGACGGTCTCGAGAGAAGTGTTCTCAGACGAGAGGTTGTGTGTTGTGTTATGAGCGTGTCTCACGAGGCTGTGCATCTTCAATGTTATAATAATTAATGTGTGTGTCTATGTGTGTGTGTGTGTGTGTCTCTTCGGTGTACCTTCTGATCAGCTTGTGATGTGATTCCAATATACGGAATTGATATGTTGATAGAGATGCTTTTGTTGGTTCAACATTCAACAAATCATTTTGTGGTTAGAAATGTATAAATTACTACCTTTTAGGAATGTTCAGCTGACAGGTCGAACTATATTCCTCCTTAAAGGATGTAAATAAGAAGATTTTGGATTTTATAAACTTATTTCTTTATTTTTTTCGATCGCATGAAAAGTATCTTATGTATTTTTTCTAGTTCTAAGCTATCTCTTCACCAGTTTTCAGCATAAATTGAAAAGCTGTTCTTGAGTTATAAATAGTGTAACAAACACGACTTTCTTAAGATATGTACAAAAGTATTATATATAAATTTAATTTTGCCAGTCCAGCTTGATCTAAAGCAAAACAGGCTACATATATGTAGTTTCAGTGGATAAGTTAGGATAGAAACGAAGTACTTAAAAGTATCAATGAGATTTATACAAGAAAGAAATAATATGTTTGTGATACGACGAAGTGAATGTTGTAACTAGTCTTGAATAAGTGTCATGAATATTTTAACAGTGACATTGTATGTTGATGAGTTGACTCTCTTTGAACAATATTATATTGTTGCTATAAAATGTACTGGGATATTGACTTATCCCATTTTCGTCGCGTCAAATTTATTTCATTCTGAACACAAACATTGTATAAAGAAAATGCTAGCATAGATATAGAGCTTGATAGGCTTCGTTGGGAGATGAATGATTTAAATTATCACTTAACATATCATTGTAACTATAATAAGGAACACAGTGCTCTATATCTTTGCCGTTTCCTTATGATCTAGTAAAGATTTTGAATCATAATTACTTTTCGTCCGCTCACCTCGTCCTCGTGGTACCAGAAGATGTATGCGGGTGGTTCAGGGCTGAACTGAATGAGGCAGGTGAGGTTTATAGTGGAGCCGATGTCCACGTGGAGGTCCGGCCCGCCCAGGATACGGGCCGATGGTACTACAAACAAAAGACAGAAGATGGTTTAAAATCATTATTACGAGATATTACTTACTTTGATAACTAAGAGAGTATCATTAGTTCTTATTCAAAGATATCTAATTAGTAAAGCTGTCGAGTTGTGACTCCTACTACGTTTAGTGAACACATAACAAATTGCTATGTGACCCACGTGGTACAGATATGGCTGACTATATTAGGAAAAATACTTAATAAAGACTTAATATAAGGCATGTGTTATGATATTTATAGTAGATAAGAAGATTATCTTTTAATTTGTCCCGACTATCGTTGAGTGATTTGAAGTTATTATAAATCATTAGTAACTTAGTTAAGGAAAAAGTATCGGAGAAGTCAATAAAGTTATTGCTTATTATAAAATACTTTACGATCATTGGGGAAATGAAAGAGGCTTGAGTAATGCCCGAGAGACTTAAATAATTAAGAGAGTCGCAAATAAAAACAAAGCCCGCTGTGACTCAGTCAGTGTTGTGATAAACAGTGTTGATCAAAGGAACACTTACCAAGACTAGGAAGCATCTCCTCGGAGACATTCACGGTTTATTGTCTCATTGTTATATTTACTTACTAATCGCTACTTATTGTTTCATTGGGGATTGATAATATTATTAAACCTTTTAACTATACATGACGTAGTTATTGATAAGCTTATATTGGATGAGACGTGTTATTTCAATATTCCTAACAAGCGGAATCCAATTTCAATGAAAATATATTGAGGTAATCTTATTAAGGTAGGATCGAACAGTTAATTTACCGAATTTAGCGAGATTTTCTAAAAATAAGAAAAAGGCTGTGATGGTAAATTGATTAATAGACTCCTCGTACGTCGAAGGTAGATACAAGCAACCATTATATATTTAACCTTATTTACGATACATCACTTAGGTCTACTTATATATAGTAAAAATAAATTCTATTTAAGAAATAAAATAGTAAATTAAATTTATTTTTATGTAGTACGTTAATTGAAAAACAATTTTCGACAATTTATTATCCTTTATTATATTAAAAAATATTTTTTTCTTATATTCACAATAATATCAAAAATGTTTCTTTATTCATACTACAGAATAACATTTAGTGAACGGATATCCAGCGTCGTATTTTTCCACTGTTATCGAGTTTTGTAATTAATTTTATTAAGCGGATTAGAGCTTTAAGTAGAACGTTGATAATAGCGTAAGTTGGCCAATAAATGTAAACGTGGCAACGACACGGCATCCCCTTAATCGAGACTTATGACTACCTCTGTATAGTGTACCTACTGGATATTAATTATTGAAGAAAGAAAAAAAAACTGAGACTATAGCTCCGGGCTCTGAGAGACTAAGTTCCTTAGTAATTTTATTAAAATAAAAACGTATTACGCTTTTTCAAAACAAAAATTATGTTTAACTTAGTTTCCACTTGTATATAAAACTATAAATTAAGTTTTGGCTTTATATTCCTTCAAGTTATTTTTAGAGGCTCTTTGAAGAATTTAGACGAGTGCTACACGATAATTAGTGTTGAGGTGGACAAAACTAATAAATGATATTTGAAATTATTGTTCAATCTATACTGTACGTTTGGTACTGTGTTTGAATTTTAATAAACGTATTATAATCAAGAGCCAAAAGGATTCACTGGTAGATATCGAGTCAGTGAGTATAATGAAGTATATTTTTTATGAAACACAAAAAGCCGTTGGAGGAACAATTAGCGAGCAAGTTAATCTGCATAGTAGGGAGTTGTGTTGGAGTAAGTGTCGCGGCCGTACTCGTAGCTAGACGCTAATGGATGTGCGTTAGGAGTGTAATTTGTTGTTCCGACTGAACGGAGACGCGAGGGAAGTATTTCATTACATTCCTGATAAATTATACCATTTCTTGTGTCTCTACCCAATTAAGCCAGCGAGTATATTAAGGACGTTTTGTCGCTAACGTTATTGCTAATTAATTTGTAATTACGTATTTATTAGATGTGATGAAAGAACTGCCACATCGAAAATTTAATGACGAACTACATAGAAGAAAGAACAAAAGATTTCGAGGAAACAAATTAACGTAAATAAATTGTATTTGAAACACATTTAAATATAATGCAAAAGAAACGTTAATTGAAAAAGTTTTCATTGACAAGAAGTATATTAGATATTGAAAAAAAGAAATTGCTTCTGAAAAATATTAAAAGAAATCGACTTATTTGAAAGAATGTGTTATGTTTTAATGACGATTATCAGCTTAGTTAGTGAGGAGCAAAGAATAGAAGGGACTGGCGGCGTCAGGCGGCGCCAAGGAACAATCGAGATATTGGCTCCAGTACTGTGTTTGTCACGTTCACAGTTGATACGGGGAGGGAACAGTTAAATCGTTCGCGTCAAATTGCTCAAATCACTCGCTCCTTTGTGATATTCGCAAGAACATGTCATAAAGAGTTAGGTTACCGTGGATTGAAATGCGGTCAAGATTATTCAATTTCTTGTAAAACTGTTGCAACAAAGTTCACATATTGAAGTTCTCTTGCAATATTTATTGCTTCGTTTTTTTTCAACTTTTATGAAAATAATAAATCCCTAATATTATTATAAATATGAAAGTAAGTCTGTCTGTCTGTTGGTCTGCTACGTGTATAGAGATAGATGGGACTCTGGAGAAGCATATAGGTTACTTTTTGACCCGATCCCGAAGTTACCCCGGTTAAATTGCGCACCATATTTTTGTATTGTGATACCACATTGAAATAATCAGCTTATAAAATATTTCATCACGATCACGATCCCAATCTCGATCCCGACGTCAATCCTGATTCCGATTCCAATACTAAAACCAAACGGATGGAACCTTCAAGTGCTTTTTACGATTCAGTGGTCGTAGTGTTTTTTAACTTTTATCCCCATACCGATCCCGATCACAATCCCGATCCCGATAACGATCCCGAATCTACACGGGTGGAATCATTAAGTGCAGTTCGGGTTCAGTGGCCGCAGCGACATAGAATAATTCTCATGTTTGCGGACAGAGTCGCGGGTGAAAACAGGTTCTTTATATTAATTTCTTAAGACTTTAATTTTTTTAATTTCATAGCAAACTAATTGAAAAGTCTACACAATGGCCACTCCATTAAATGAAAAAGTGCTTATTTAAAATCTTTTATAGATGTTTAAGTTGTTAATTTTAACGACCGACCGTCATGAAAGTCTAGTGTTGGTTGAAAAATACTCATGAGTGCGTACGGCGTACGGTCGGCGGAGGGTGGCGGGCGGCGGGCAGGTCAACAGCGGCGAAGCAGGTCAACCTCAACGTTCTAATTACACTTATTATTCCTCCACGAACCAGCTAAGCAAACCTTCTGTAACTTTTCTCATTAACGACACACCTGTCACCAACATCCATTTTCTGTCAGCGATCAAACGCTAACAGCTCTCGTTACAGTTTGGATGAGAAATTTATAAATCATATTCATTCATGTATTTTACAGCTGACACTGCAAAAAATCAATATATATGTCTCGTGACTTCTAAGCTGTGAATAAAAATGCATTTGAATGAGACAGAACTGCGAGTAGTCTTAGATAAGCTGTCAAAAAATGTAAGGTGACATAAAACAGAGAAGGGATTGCCTCGTCTTGAACCAGCGATACGAATTTAAATGAAAAAACGCATCGAACGTATCATCTATCATATTGGGAAAGTTTCCTTCCTGAGGGAGGAAGTTGCTCCTGTGTGGAGTTATTGAATTTGGAATATATGTGAACTGTTTCATTTTATTTAGTGAGCGGGTGGCGCCGGGGGTCGGAGCCGTTACCACCAGCTCCGCGACCCCGACCTCGGAGATGTTTTAAAATATATCAGTCACAGAACTTTATAAAATATACTTCACATTATGGGCTGTATCTCAATTCAATAGACGTCTTATTTATAAAAAGAGAATAATTTTTCTATAAAAATATTACTGTAATTTCCAAAAGAGACTGATTTTATATTTAATAACACTATTTTATTATTTTATCATATTATTGATAAAAACCAAAATAATAATTATTTATGAAACAGCAGAACACATATTTTATTATTAGCAATGATAATAATGTATTGTGAATTGATTCGGATTGAATCAAAACGTTAATTCACGGTGCAGATCTCAGTAGGAGAATCGCACACCGCTGATTAAAGAAAATGTTTTAGTATTAATTTAACATATTAACTGAAAAACGATAACATTATATTTACATGACTCCAGGTTCTTTTTCCACCATCTTAGTAAATCCCAACTTTTTAAGGCTGCTTTCGACTTTGTAAGGACACACGAAAATAAGTGGAATGAAGTAGACGTCTCTTTTTGTGCTCTAGATTAGTAAGTTAGTGCTCAAGAAGCTTAATATTATAGATATTTGAAGCCCACTAAAAGTTGTTTATCAACTAGACTATATGTTACCTGTAGTTCCTTCTAGACTGATGAGCTTTATGTAGTTACTGATATGAAGTGTAAGGAGTACAACAATCATCAAGTCATTTCCACTGATCTGATTATCACCATATTTCATGTTAGAACAGTAAACTTTATGCCGCCGGTTTTCACTTGTATTGTTATGAATGACGATATAATTCCATATTGTTCGCAGTAACTCAATACCGCCACACATATCCGTACATATAAAAGTTATACCTTCGTGTTTATGACATCGTTTGTTCGTGCACACATATAAAATATGTCTAAACATATTTTGTGACTTTATATAGCATTCTGATGTATTATAATTAAAAAGTGATCCGTCGTTAAAGTATAGTTATTAATAACATATTCTTTCCTAAACATAACACGAATTGATATTTAATTGTAATTTTATATAGTCGAGAACAAATGAGACCAAGTAATAAAAATAAATGTATTAAAAAAAAGAATTGTATTGAGAGAAAAATATCAAATAATAAGATTTAAGTTCATATATAAATAAGATGCCAACAATGATTGTTTGATTGTTACACACGCCACGAT